AGATCTGAGAGTAAAACAGCTCCCCTGGTCAGCCTTACAGACTGTATGTGTGATGTTAACACACAACACACACCTTTAATCCCAGTAGCCACACAAATTGCCATAGAAACTGGGCAGTGCATGCCTTTAATGACAGTGGTGCACACCTTTAATCCCAGCCCTAGAGAGGATTATATAATGGGAGGAAACCGCTCACAACACACAATCTCATTCTGAGATTCCTAGAGGCAGGATTGCCTTTTTAGACTGAGATTGAGGTAAGAGCCAGTGGCTGGCTGTTTTGCTTTTAGATTGAATGCCGATTTCTCTCTCTGAGTTTTTATTAATCATGCATCACAGAACTTATTGTATAGAGTAGGAAGTGAGGGTGGGATGGATTGGGCTTGCTCTCCATTAACTTGCCATGAGAAATTTCCTGCAGTTTAGGAGTTGAGTGGGGACATGCATGACTTCTGCTCTACTTGAATAGGTCTTTTGCAGAACTGAACTGATGGAGAAGAAATCTGTTTCCCTAGTTGTCATTTCCACCTACAATATCTCTTCTACAATGCTGAGTAGGGTAGGAGAGGGGTGGTACAGGGGTGGGTCTGTACCTATGTAAAATATCTCAGTTTTCCGTCCCCCCCCCACATTTGTCCTTATTAAAGCTTTTAAAGAGTTTGATGAAAAAAAAAATGATTGCAAATACTCTGGGAAATCTCCAGAAGCTTAAAATAATTGTCATTAATAATTTTTCCCCTTGAAGGATTGTTTGTTCAAGAGATTTTTGCTGAGCTGCTTGCCTTGCCATTTCCTGAGCTTTTGTGTTTCATCTTGTGATTTTGCTAAAGCCTTTGAGACATACTGACTTGTCTCAATAAGAATATCATATTCCTTATTTTGGTGTCAGGTGCTGGGGCTAGCACTAGAAATACAAAGTCTCCCAGTACTTCTAGACAGACAGTAATCCGATTGTTTTCCCAAACAGGCCAGTATTATGCAGACAATAATCACAGACTGTTGCAAATGCAGATAACAAAGGGTACTTACTAACCATCACTATAGAGATGAAGAGTAGCTGGAGGTTGGTTTTGGACAAGAAGTAACATTTGACCTGGATTAGAAAATATGAATAAAAGTTGTCTTTTGACAGAGGACGAATAGGCACTTCAGATAGCAGTAGAGAACAAAAACTGATACGTATACCAAGAATATTTAATCAAGTGCAATATAACAAGTACTTTAGCCCACATAAGGCATGTTGGACTTCTTACTTGTTGGTATGGGAGGATGTTTTTGAAGCAGTAGAAATACAAGAAAAAGTGAGAAACCAGACATAAAATGACTAACAAGAGTCAGTACAAGAAAAGTCAAAGTCTCTAAGTAAGAGAGTGTGTTATAACTTTGAATTTTCTTCCTTTTTCAGTTATTTCATATACCCCTGGTTCAAAAACTCATTCCTAGAATACGCTGTGGTGTTTCTACCTTTGTGTTCTTCAAGCGCATTTTATTCATCAAAATCTGTAGGCGAAGAGAAAAGAGGATGATCTCAAAATTGGTGGGGAAACCAAATGTCCAATGATAAAGACATTTCTGAGACAGAGTTAATCAAGTTGATTTGTTTGTTAATAGAACTAATTGGGCTATTACAGACATTTTAATAAGCAAAATTTTCTTTAGGGAACAACCACCATGACTTTCCAAAGGCGAAATCTTGTAGTAGCAGCAGCAAGAGATCAGATGTTGTGGTAGGAGGATAGGAAAAAAAGATCAGAGATTTGCAAAGTAGATACTATTATTTCGATTCTCCCATCTTTATAAGTTTGCCTCACACATTCCAGATGGCCTTCTAGTTGAATGGACATTTAAAATAAAAAGTTTCTGAAGATATAGTATATTTTAGAACACCTAGAACTTTATATTTACTCAGCACTTTATTCTAATTTGCTTTGTGTTGCTGTTATAAACACCAAGGCCAAAACAAATGTGGATAAGAAAGGGTCTACTTGGTGTATATTTCCATGTCATCATTCTATATCCAGGGAAGTCAGGGCAGGAACCTAGAGGCAGGAACTGAGGCAGAAGCTATGGAAGAATGTGGTTTACTGATTTGCTCTAGCTTATTTCAGTTACCTTTTTCTGTTTATATAGCCAAGGGTCACCTGCCTACAGATGGAAACATTCACACTGGCTGTGCACTAGCACATCAACTAACAATAAAGAAAATACAGACATGAACATTGGACAATCTGATGGAAGAGATTCTGTCTTTCCAGGCAATTAATTATAAACTTTTAAGTTGACAAAAACTAACCAGTATACACACTTATATCAACCCTCTATCTTCTGTGGTAGATCTGTTTTAGGCACCTTTACTTTGCCAAGAGGCATGAACAAACTAAAAATTAAAATTTCAAGACAAGCGCCACAAGTATTAACAGTTGTTGAAGTAATAATCTATAAAAATTCATAACAACATGAGAGATTATTTTTGGCTCCTTTAAAATACAATAGTATGTTCCTGATTGTCAAGAGGCTCTCCTCCAAGTCACAGTTTGAGGATCTTGCATCAGATGGCTCTGCTATTTCCAGAGCCTCACAGTCTTGTGAGGAATGCTCTGCCTGCAGGTGAAGACAAGAAAAAGGCAATAATGAAAACCTCCCCCATGGTGGTCTGCAAGTGGCACCATGACATTTCTGCACACATCCTCTTGGCAGGAACAATTTCTGGGCTTACACTTAGAGGAAAAGGCTTTAGCAAGTGTAGTTCTGGGCTGGGACATTACTTCTTAACAAAATTTGGCAGGACTAGCCACCTGCTTCTGACATAAAAATTTGAGTTCTCTATTCTACTAAATGGTGAGTTGGGTAATAATGACTTTATTCATAAAACAAATGGCATCTTGTATTTTGTGAAGTGAACATTACCCCTCACTTCCATTAATTGAAACTTTTACTCTTTCCTCTAGAAGATGCTAAAAATAAGGACCTTGTTCTGGGATGTTCTGCTGCCTGCAAGGAGAGTTATCTAGGTCAGGATGGAGGGGATCTCTGTCTTGGAGAGGAGAGAAGAGAGGATACAGACACACACACACATAAACACACAGAATGAGAGAGAGCCAGTGCTTTCTATATCAGAGAGGGATAGCAAAACCATATGAGGTAGACTGACCTTCTAGAAACTGAAAAGTCATGTCAAGTACTGGGTGAGATGGGCATTTTTAAAAGGGAAAAAAAAAGACTGAAGTAGATCTGTGGACAGCTGAAGATGGGAATTTGAATGGAACATTGTACATGAACCAAAGGACTTGTGAGCACTCACAGTTAGGAAGTCAACTGGCTCAGGATGCTGTTTGGGTATACCCAGAGCACCAACTTTCTCATTGTGGACATCCCTATGTGTGTGAGGACACAGTAGCAGGGATAAACAATCAGAAATGTTACTTCATATTTATGACTGCTATATTTAGTATATTTATGACTGCTTTATTTAGTGTCATATTTATGACTGCTGTATTTAGTTTTTTGAGGACAATGGCTTTCATGAGTTTCAGTGAATGCACACAACAGAGGCTTAAAATGGAAATTCCAACTGGAAGACTGTTATTGTTCTTGGAGGGTTCTTAGAGTTCATGACGATAAAGGTAGAGAGTGTAAGGAAGTGGAAAAGTCACCATTCAGATTTCAAGAGGAGTGTTGTCAGAGGTTCCTGCCCAGTCCTGCAGCTGTTCAGTTCCCAAGAAACACACAAAGGTCTCCATTAATTATAATCTTGTTGGCCTATTAGCTCAGGCTTCTTATTAACTATTTTTTTTTGAGACAGGGCTTCTCTGTGGCTTTTGAGCCTGTCCTTTGACTAGCTCTTGTAGACCAGGTTGGCCTCAAACTTACAGAGATCCACCTGCTCTGCCTCCCAAGTGCTGGTATTAAAGGCCTGTACCACCAATACCTGGCTTATTAACTAACTCTTACATTTTACATGAACCCATAATTCTTGTCTGTGTTAACCACGTGGCTTGGTACCTATATCAGTGAGGCATTCTCATCTTGTGTCCTCTGAGTCTGGTGATGAATGTAGACTGAGCCTTTCCTCTTCCCAGAATTCTCCTATTCTGATCACCCTGCTTATATTTCCTGCCTGGCTTCTGGCAAACCAGCATTTTATTAAAACCAATACAAGTGACAAATCTTTACATGGTACAAAACTATTGTCCCACAGTCCTTTCTCCTTTTTTTCTTCTCAAAACAAGAACTCTGAATCTAATCTTCTTTGTTTAGCTTTTTTCCCTGACCATTATTTATAACAACTTGTAACCAACACTCTAAAAAAAGACAAATGCCCATAATCCATTTTTGGGAAAGTGGGTTTAGTTTTCTAGGTTACTTCTTGCTGATTGGGGGTGCTTATAATCTTATGGGGACCTAAAGAAAAATTAGGATTATGGTCAAATCCTGACTCAAATATTCTGAACTGGCTGAAGCTTACTCACACTAATAATAATAGTGAGTAATAGAGTGAATACTTGTGAGCTATTATTTATAGTCTATTTACATTGGTATAGATTCTTGTATATTGATACAAATTCAAATTATATTGAATATGCTCCTATTTCTGTTTATACTATTCGTACACCTAGGCAGTTATTTTGTCATATTGTATGCATGCATGCTTCTACCTCTGCTTAAGACATTTTGTATATTGATATAATTTTAGAATATATTCATCATATTACACTATACAGTTCTACTTTTGATCAAGATACTTATACATAGTATACATTTTGAGGTCACTTTCATCATTTGCTGCACAATTGTTTAAAGATTATTTAATATTCTAATATGAAGTCTTAGTCTTTAAGATATATATGTATTAAGTATTATGGGTTTATAGTCATCTATGTTTGTCATACTTATAGTTAGATTAATCAGGTTCTTTAGATACATGGAGATTGTATTCTGCATACATAGGTAATCTTCAATCACTTCAAATAACTGTAGAATATGTCATTTAAGTAATTTAGGACTTTTCATGACAATGAGACACATCTGCTCCTGTCAGCACCAATCTACTTCAAAAGGAAGATAAGTATCAAAGAGGCTCCTTAAGGAGTTGGTTAGCCATTTGGACTAGAAACTTCTCTTGTTATGGACTGCTTGATGTTATGATGTATGAACTGGACATGCAGGACCCACAGAAAAATGACTGCTGAACTTGCCTAAAGGTGAGACATCCTTTGGGGTTTCTGCTTCATGAAAGAGTCTGTCAGAAATTCTGCAAGACACTGAAGAAAGCAACTGATGAACTTTGCCATCATAAGGCAGAGTAGATCTTCAAATTTTTTGCCTCTGAAAATGGTCTGTCAGTTACTCTAGGCCTTAGCCAAAGTTGGTTGCTTCATCATTGCAAATGAGATTTTGGGTGATTACCTAGATAGCCAGTTGTTTCTGTCATCTATTGCACATTTTGGAAGCTGCTTGATTGCACTTCCTGCCTACTCAAGTAATATTATCTTGCTTCTCAGGCCTTTGATGGGTTTGAAGATTAGATAGTCATAGTTACTTTCCTCTTATGATTTAGCCAAGATATTTCTAATACAAGACTTAGATTCCTTAGGATAGAATGATTATTGAAGCATTTAACATGTGTTTCTTCCTTGATATTTTTTATGCTGGTTGTTATTCTAATTTTTATACTTGATATTTCTTCTTATTGTATATAGTGTTGTATTAGGCTTAGAACTCTTTTATTTAAACAAAATGGGGAGGCTGCTGTGGGAACTCCTTCAGCCAGTAGCCTTTAAGATATCAGCTCACTTGTACCTGGCCTCTTATATTATAAATGGCGATGTAAGGCATGTGCTTGCTCTCTCTCCAGGCTTCTGGATTCTGTTCCTGTTCCACATTCGTGCAGAGGACTGTGATTTGTGACTCTACCCCTAAATAAATAACCGTTTATTATACTCAATTCTGCGCTAGTGTGGGATTATTTTATAGTGTCCATTATCAGAGGGGGCTTATCAAATAGTGGGTGTAACATTTCATTGCTTCTTCATATAAGGTATTTTATTGCAAATTTCCAGTCTTGGCAGTGTATGGTAAAGATGAATTCCATGGAATTCTACCCTAGATTGCTGACTTCCAGTCCTGTGCCTACCATTTTCCAGGTGATTCCCCTCCATAGATATATACGTTCTCAGTATCTAAGTGTTTAATCTCCTGTCTTGTGATAACTGTAGTCTGTATCTCATTGGATGCCTGTGACACTGAGAAGACAGTTTTTGTTTGTATATCTGTTGATGGAAAACAAGACCTTGCTCAAGCTAGAAGGGTACTTTACCCAGGACCTACATACTCAGCTCTGCATGTGAGTTTGTGTGAGTCAATTTTATAAATATAATCCAGAATAATATTTGGAACATAGCAACATACAAATGTTAGCCATCATCATCATTATTATATTGTTCTTTTTGCTTTTATATTTTCCTTTGTATCTGCCAATTCTAGTTAAAATGAAGCAACAACAAAAATAGCAACTTAAGAATACCATGAAAAAATACAAATGAATCAAAGAACTCTTCTTATAACTTAAGAGTTTTAAACTTTGAAGAAATGTTAGATTTTAGTAAATGTCCATAGAAATCTATTGGCTGATCATATAGTTTTGAGAGTTAGTAATCTGTATTTGTGGAGAGGCTTTCATTTCACACACTTAGAAGATGGCAGAGATTCTCCTACCATCAACTCCTGCATTACTGTAGTACATTATTACTAAGTGAAGGGCATTGCTGTATTAGGCTGTATTGTGCCATATACTTCTAAGGTTTAAATAAGTATATATACGGTATCATTTATCTTCTATTACAGTATCAAACACAACAATTCTTTGTAAGTACTTCTTTATCGTGAATATAACCATGTATGTATATATTTGATGAATTGTTCTTTCATTTTTCTTGCTTACAATATTTGTATATGAATTTAGTATTAAGGTAAGATAGATTCAAAGAATGAAAGGGGAGTGTATCTACTATCTAGAACAGATTGTAGATAATTGGTATACTGATTTATGAAATAATTATTTTTTAAATCATTTGTAAAACAATCATGGCTTGGTACATTCTTTGGAAGACATTAATTATTTACTGAACTTTGTATGATTTCTTTCAAAATATGGGAACTTTTTACAATACATTGAACTTTGTATCTCTTTCTGACCTGGAACTCACTGTGTAGTGTAAGGCTAGCTTTAAACTTAGCAGCGATCATCCTGCCTCTGCCTCTAGAGTGCTGGGATTACAGGTATAGGCTAACATGTCTGGCTCAGTATTTAAAAAAATAGTTATTAGATAGTTGTATAGAGGGAAACATATTTGCTGTTGGGGAGGGAAGGGTAAATTACAAGTGTGGCTCAGTGATGATCACAAGTGTCCACTTACGATCAAAAGTCCTGTTTCCTTCCTGGAGTGCGGCTTGGACTTGATGAATCACTTTTAATGCGTAGAAGAAAATGAAAGTCTTATAGTGTAATGCCAGAAACAAGTAATAGGAAGCACTGTAGATTCCTGCTGATGTTCTCCCAGGCCCTGGAATCCCTTTTGCTGTGAGGCTACCAGGAACTGGTAAGAAGCTAACATTTTATCCCAAGATTTCACAAACAACTGAGGTATCTGGCAATTTTGTGACTGATGTCTTGGAAGATGATCTACCAATGCCAATCAAACTTTGGGGTGACTATACCATATTTGTATGGAATATGATGGGCCAAAATCACCTAGGTAAGCTGCACATGGGTTCTTCATCCTCATAAATGTGTAAAATTAGAACTGTTTGTGTGTTAGACCATGTACTGGTTAATTTTGAACACCAACTTGGTTGGAGTATTAATGAAACACACCTTTGAGTATGTCTGTGGGGGTACTTCCAGAGTGGATTAACTGAGGGACAAGACCTACCGTAATGTGAACAACAGTATCCCATGATTTGGCAGCCCAGGCTGAAAAGGAAGAGAAGGGAGGTAGCTCTCAAGGGCTGACATGCCTCATATTTCCTCCAAGTTCCAGTAATATGTCAGATGCTCTCACTATCATGGAGTCCTTTCTCAACTAATGTGTTCTCTCTGTCATGGTAGACTGTGTTATATCAAAGCCTGAGCTAGAGCAGACCCTTCAAGTTGCTTCTGTTGGGTATTTTATCACAGCAACGAGGAAAATAACTAAGAAGGATACTACATAATAAAGGCATTTAGAGAATATCTATAATGATTTAAGCATGTTCCTTGGCAACCCGTTTCTCCTAAAATACCACACATGTTTGCACGAGCACAAATATACACATATATCTACCCATTGACTTCTAAAGCACATCTAACTCAAGTCTACATTCTTAAATACTGTGATTTTGTCCATTTCATAATTTTAGTACTATTTTAAGGATTGGCTATGGTTGTCAACTTGGATAATTGCCTTGGTGACTCACTTCTTAATCTGCTGATGCTTCATCTAGCATAATACAATGCTGTGTTAGAAGTGGGATTTAAGACTTTATCACTAAGGTAAGGCACCAACCTTGCCCAGCAATGAATCCTAGCTAAGTCATAGTGTTGCTTCCTTTGGTGCAATTTAGAGAAAACCATGTGCATTTGTTTCTTTATTTTCTACATTATTTGTTTATCTATTCAGTGTGTGTGGCTGTATACATGCATTGGCCTGTGTGCAAAGGGCAGAGGACACTTGACAGGAATCAGTTCTCTCCTTCCACTCTGTTCATTGTGCAAATCCAAACCAAGTCATTGGGCTTAGTGACAGTTCCTTTCTCAAGCCCCTTCATCACTGAGCATGTATGTTCCTTCTTGCCCCCTTCTCTTCTTCCTTTTTCCCCTTCCCCCCTCTTTTTTTCTAGTAAACTCTAAAAGATGATACCAGGAGGCCACAGTGAAAAAGAACTTGGTTCAGTACCATCTGTATCCTTGGGAAGCAAAGCTACAGGGATCTGAACTGAACCTACAAAAATGTATTAGCCCACTTTCATTAGACGGTATCTTTACTTCCTTTCCTGTAAGAAACTGATGGATTTCTGTAAGTTGGTGAATGCAGAGTTTAACACAGCTGTTCCACTAGTCAAACTGTCTAGAACGAAGGGTAACATCCAGGTAGAGAGGAGCAAAGAGAGCACCAGCTTCCCTGACTTACCTCGATGACTAAAGGACAAAGGCAGCTGTGTGTGAGCACTTGCTGATGTGTCCTTGTACATTAATGAATTCAGAGATGATTTGACAGCCATCTATCATGTCTCAGTTGTGCCAGGCTCTGGACACACAGTGGTGGGTACACACATCCCCTTACCTCAAAGATGAGATTCTGTTCTGGTGACTTGGGGCTCAAGTCCTTGTGTCATGGCCCATACATGTCTGACCCTAGTCAAAACGCAGTCGCAGGAAAGTGTCTGTATGTCTTTCTGCCTCTGCTGTCTCTACCGATCAGAGGCAACTATGAGAGGGGAAACTTATAAATTTGTTTCTGTAGACAAAGAGCCCCCTAAAATGATTATAAATCCTGAAAACTGAATATCCTGAGATGTCTTCATGCATCAAAGTATGATTCCTGAAACCATTTTATTCAATGGAAAAAAAAAACTAAAGTACACTGAAACCTTAAGATATACAGTCAGTGTTGTTTCTTCAGGAGAGCAATAATGTCAGAAGCGTGGCCACTGACAAAGGTTCAGATCTGTGTGACTAAAGCTGTACACAGGAGGTAAATATGTGTTCGCTTATGCAGGCTCAGGGAAGCTGAAGAAATTAGTTCTTGTTAGTTTTTTTTTTTTTCTTGACAAGTCTGGGCAGAGGCTGAGGCCCCACAGAGCTTGCTTTCCACCTGACTACCTAGGGCAAACCAGTAGCACCAGCTAGAGCCCTGTTTCAGGAAGCAAAAACCGTGCTAGCTGTTGTAAACAGAAAGACATTTAAAAGATGTAATTAAGTGTTTGCAAAACCACCGAGGACTGCAGGAGCAGACTATAGACTGTGTCTTTAAGAATAACTCACAGAACAAGATTGTTGAATTGGCCCACCAGGGTGCTCTGTCTCTGTAAATGTTAAAGAAGAGAGGGATCTGGACCCCACTGGGGACCTGTAGCATTCCCTGTAAAGAGATGCAGGGAGGCAGGAAGCAGAAGGCAGATGCCTGCCTTTCAGCAGTAACACAGAAAGTAGTCAAACCCAGGGCACAACTCCCTAACTCTAACAGATCCTGAAAGTCACAGAGCTGTTCACCGAACACTGGGATGTGCTTCTGAGAAGCTCACCATTGCTATGGCAAAATTCGCAACACCTCAGTATCTTTCTCATTTAAATGCCCACCTGGCATAGCTTTGGCTAGCAAGGCACAATAGATTTCTTAGTAGAGGAAGGAGGGGTTTAGGCTTTGTTTTCCTGGAAGAAAAAAGGGATAGAAAGTCTGGTGCTACCTTTTCCCTTCTTCCTTCATTGACTGATGCTGAAACCATTTTGTACCCTAAGAATTTAAAACCAGCATGCGTTTGATGGAGACTTTTAAAGTGTACTAGCAATTTTCTACTTGGAACTTCATGTTATTGGAAACAGAAAATAAAATCTTGTTACAGTATGCTAAAGGAATTAAATATTAGATGCTAAAAATCTACATTAAACTCACAGCAGCTCTGATTATCTACATAAAAGATTTGTGTAGGCTTGATGTTTTGTCATAGAGCTCCACCCTTCCATTAAATTCATATAGTTAATGGTTGGGATGTGTGAGAAAGAGACATTCTTTCTTTTTTTAAAAGTTATGTTCATTATTACTTTGGGTGTGTAGGTGTTCTGCCTATATGTATATCTGTAGACCACTAGTGTGCTTGATGCCCCTAGAAGTCAGAAGAAAGTATCTGGTTCCCTGGAACTAAAGTTAAAGA